CGTGACTTCACACAGTAGGTTTTTTAAAGAAAACAGTGGCGTAGCCTTAAAATTGTGGGGGGGGGATTTTTAACAGGCATACTAACCCCTTGAAAATACAATTTTTCGATGTTCGGCGCCTACTGCTAACCAAATTAAAAGGCAAATTTTTATGAATGTGTCAGATATTTTTGTAAAATGGGGATTTAAAAATACTTGTTACTTTTAACGTTCTTACGGAAAAAATTCTGTAAATTCTATCCTTCGACGTACAATGGTCTTATTTGTCTTAAAAAATCGGTGAAAGACGCCTCTAGATGCATGTAAAATATTTTAGGGCACATATTTTTCCTTGTATTTTTTTATGCCTGTTCACCGCATCAAGTTGGTTGGGAATAGAGGTGAACAAATTACTTCAATGGCTTATAGGCTTTGATTGACTCAAATTATGATGGAACGTTAAATGCAATTATATAGAAGGGCATCTATGCCATTTTTTGGAATAGGTTTTAATACAATTGAGCACAGACCCTCGAAGATATCTTAAATCAAAACATTAAATGTTGCTATTTTTTTCAAACCGCGGTTACTTGTGCAATCACCCGTTAAACGCGAAAACTAAGTATGCAGATATGCGTATATACGTCTGTATTAACATATTTTAATGCCAATAGGCCTGAACCTTTTAATAAAGTCAATTTTGTTGACCTGTGTAATGGATGTTGTTTCTCACAGAAGCAGAATTCGCGGGAATTTTACACATTTGACGTCGACTTTAGCAGAGCTCTGCTACCGTCCGCGTTCTACATATGTTAGCAGAACAACTACGTTTTAAAAAAATTGTTAAAACAAGAGCAACTGAATATAAAAAAGATTTCGGAAATTTTAAACTTTAGTGTGGGCTCATATCAACTTAGCAGAACAACTTTGTTTAAAAAAAAAAACAAGAAAGGAAGTTAACTTCGGCCAGCCGAAGCTTACCCTTGCAGGTATGCCTACTTAAAATATTGTTTTTACAATGTGAAAAATCAAAACAAACAGATTTTTTTTAAATAAACGGTAGGAGTAAAAAAAAAAACCTATCCTTATATTTCAATCCTCTATCAAAAAAAATTTCGATTGATTCTGAGATTTGACCCAAATTGGCCTTTCACGTTTCACGTGGAATGAGCTTATGGTGGTCCGATCCGGTATTTATTTTACTTGCAAGGGTATAAACTTCGGCTGTCCAAAGTAAACTTATTTTTTATGTTTTAAGCATTTTACCAAAAATATTTGGTTCAGGGTCACTAGCTGAGTCGATATAGCCATGTCCGTCTGTCCGTCTAACCGTCTGTCCGTCTGTCTGTCTGTCTGTCCGTCTGTCTGTCTGTCTGTCTATCTGTCTGTCTGTCTGTCTGTCTGTCTGTCTGTCTGTCTGTCTGTCTGTCTGTCTGTCTGTCTGTCTGTCTGTCTGTCTGTCTGTCTGTCTGTCTGTCTGTCTGTCTGTCTGTCTGTCTGTCTGTCTGTCTGTCTGTCTGTCTGTCTGTCTGTCTGTCTGTCTGTCTGTCTGTCTGTCTGTCTGTCTGTCTGTCTGTCTGTCTGTCTGTCTGTCTGTCTGTCTGTCTGTCTGTCCGTCCGTATGAACGCTGAGATCTCGGAAACTATAAAAGCTTGAGGACTGACATTCTGCATGCAGATTCTAGAAGCGCTGCGTAGGCGCAAGTTTGTTTCAAAGGGATGCCACGCCCCCTCTAACGCCCACAATCGCTTAAATACGATTTTAAAAATTTCAATATTTCGGAAAAGTAAAAATGCAGTTTTATTGTGTTTATTAATACCTATCGAAATGTAGAAGAAATTTTTTAAATCGGACCATTCGTTAAAAAGTTACGGCGGATCAAAGTTTTTATCTCCATCTCCTTCGCACTCCCTTTAGCTGAGTAACGGGTATCTGATAGTCGGGGAACCCGACTATAGCGTTCTCTCTTGTTTTTTTATAGAATTTTGAAAAAAGTGGACCACAACTTTTTTGGTGAAAAATGATACTTGACTGTCACAGCTTATAATGTTTATCCTAAAAGTTTTGTCACTGAAAGAGACTACAAAAAAATAGAAAAATTCTTTGTAGTGGAAAAGTTTTGAGAAAGTCGGATGTTACCAACTTACAGATCACTCCCCTATATTTGCCTTGTTCTTTATCTGATGTCTCTTTCCTTAAACTAATAACTCACCAATGGATGGAGCCTCAGTTGTCGGCAGGAATCAGCAAATCAATTTACAAATAGAGCAAGGGACAACATAACAACATGTTTCATGTTTTTTCCTGCCCTTCTCCATTTTAGCAACATAACTAAATTAAGGGACCACGCGGCAGACACACAGACGCCTTCGCAGAACTAGCAACGCCGGTGGGTAGTGCACGTGCATGGATAATAACGACTCACAAAATTATTTATTAATTTATGAAAAACAAGAATTCCCCACTAAGGGAAAATATTATTATTCACTATTTGACAGAGAAGAACACACGAGATCTCAAAACCAAGCACGACACTTTAAGCGGTTGCGAATTAGGATGCGGATGCGATACCGCAGACCGAACATCCTCCGAACAGAAAGACAGCCGATTTGTGACTGGCATCAGCATGCCGTCGTGAAAGTCGTTTCGGCTGCGGCATGTTAAAAACATAAACAAATGTTGCGGTTGGCCGTGATTTATGTAAGCTAACAGATGCTTAATGCTCTTGCTGAGGGATAACAGCATTTGCCAGCCCCAAAAACAACGATACTACCCTTTTAATGTACTTCTCGTTCTTCAACTAATGCGGCAAGCTACACTTTATGTTTATCTTGTGAGAGGAAAATGTGGGACAAGTTTAGGGTCACAGAAATGCATTTCGTCAGTATGAAGCCTAAATGTACGTATGACAAAAACGAGAAAATATAGTGGTGCTTTATAAATTCAATGAAGTGGAGCGTACCAAATTTATAACATATTAAAGCTTTGTTTTGTATTTGAGTATTAAATAAGTCGGATATTTTCCAATTTGTTTTTTTTTGTAGGCGTAATCCAATAAAAAATAAAAACGTTTTTGCAAGCTAAAATTGTTTAGGTGTTAAAAACACATTTCAATTTAAAAATCCAAACATACATTTACTCTCTTTTAACTGTTAAAGTCAATTTCTCTTTTCTCCACCGTTCTGAAACATGTTTTTTATCCACTAACATTTCCCCTTATTACCCCTGATAAAGTTTACGGCATAATTAAGTCCTGGATTTCAAAAGCAGTAGCTTACAGGTCCCAAAAAGCTTTTATGCGCTTTCCAAGCTCAAATCAAATTACCCGTTTTTTCGACTTTAACAGAAGTGCAAAAAGTGAAAGCTAACGCGCATAGCTTTTTCTGATTTGATTTTCAAAAGTCGGTGCCCCATTTCTCACCCACCCAGCTGGTCAAAAAAAGCACCGTCACTAGGCTTCCCAAGCGTTCTTAGCGGGGTCGTCAGTTACTGACGTAGACACACGGCAACATGCAAAACAGTTACGGGCAGTGCCAGTGAGTGAGTGTAGTTGCGCTGGCAAGGGCTCCAGAGTCTAAACACTAATTGGAAAACTCCGGGGAAAGCAGAGCACGAGCCCTGACCAGCAGGGCATAAATACGAGCGGAAAGAGCAAGGCTCCATGAAGGCGATAATGTAAGGTGAAATGCCGTGAAGTGCAGACACACCGAAACCACAAAGTGTTCTTTCCATGGCACTATGGTCCGAGCGGCCGATTTTTTGGCATAAAGTCGAAATTTTTATGTTAATGTTTTGTATTTTTTATTTTAAATTCTTAAAGTTAATAGATCATACATATACAAACTTAAAAAAAAAACTTTAAAAGCTACACTAACGCTTTTTATGAGCTTTCAAAAGTACACAATCGATCAGCTGCTTAGGACTAAGAAATTGGCGCCATAATATTTTCTTTACGTTTGTGCAAAAAAATAAAACTTCTTTGTCCCGACTAAATTAAGTAAATTATGGAAATGAAAGATCAAGGTATGTAATATTTAGTGTGTATAGTACATTAATGTGTAATCTTAGTGTTCGACCTGTGTTTAATTTCCAATTTATGTGTATTTTTATAGAAAATTAATATTTGTTCCCTGTATTTAGTGAGATAAAACTAACGACCCGACGTCTGCCCACAAAAACTAAGTACGCCAGTTTGTACATATACATGTCGTTTTTCAGCGCTAATTAACACCTTTTCCCCGTTCGTCCCCCTTTTCACGCAATTCCACACTATTCAGGGACCTTAAAGTTTCTTCGTAGCGATCTCTAGGATATTTGGCGCAGCAACAATCGAAAATTTAATTTTTTCGGATTGCATTTCTGTAAAAATTATCAATTACCACTTAAAAGATGATAAAACATCAAAAATAAATTTAAAAAAGTAGTTATTTTGAATCCTTCCTTGTTAAGCATTCGTAAGAGAAAGAAAAGGAAATGTCTTCCTTTGCTTATAATTCCGTTAAAAAAATTACAAAAATTATTGTGAGTGTGGGGTTTGAAAGATACAGAGTTGCACTTTTTAAATGTTTTGAGTTACATTACATACGAAGAATCCGTTCGTCTGCAAAATAGGTTCAAAGTTTGCCAAAAACAGAATTTTTCCAACTTTAGTGTCCTTTTTTTTAGAATCCTTGGGTGTGAAAATTTTTTCGAGAGCACATTTAGAGCGCCGATTATTTAAAGCAAATAGGACTTTTAAGATTTCATCGAGGTATTTAAAAAAAGGTTAAATTTAATAACACAGTGTAGTATTATGAATTTGCTTGTATGGGAGGCAAAAGAGGGCGTGGTCGCACAGACTCAAAAATTTGTTTGCATACTATTCTTTGTAAAAAAACAGAATGTGTAAAGTTTTAAGTCTGTGACTCAATTTTTAGAGTTTATGCCAAAAAAATCGACTTTTGGACCATAGTGCATGGGTTCATGTCTTGGCAGCTGTGCTACAGCTCACTCCGCACACGCTCAATCTGCCAGCACTTCAATGGCTTACTGCGCCACCCACTTGAAGTCCTCGCCGTCGTCTTCCTCCACGTCCTGGGTGACCAACAGATGGCTTTGGTGAGCAAGACTAGTTAAAAAAACTTAATTTTATTGACATTGGTTGCGCGCAATACCTCTTAGCAGTTTGCTAGCTGGTGAATCAATACGAATTGGCTGGTTGGCTTTGGGCGTTCCACTAGCACAATCGACCTCCGCTCACTGTTATTCGGAAGGGTTAACGGCCTAAATGCTATGCAACTTCCGCTGGTTACCACCAAACAACGATCCAATTTTTATACCCTTGCAGAGGGTACACTCATAAAAAAAATCGAAGAATTTCCTTAAAATCTAGAAAATTCTTTCTTGAATTTTTGCCAAAGGCGACCTCACCTTTGTTTCAAGAAATGGTTGTTTTGAAAGGCACCATTAAAACAAGAAATTAAATTTCTTAAAGCAAAAAATGGATTTTTAGAAAGCAACCATTAAAACAAGAAAAAATATTTCTTGAAACGAGAAAAGCGAATCTTGTTTAAAGGTGGCTTCTTTCTTGTTTCAAGATATTAAATTTCTGAAAACAAGAATATTAATTTCTTAAACCAAGAAATAGTTTTTTAAGAATGGCAACTTCTAAACAAGAAAAAAAATATTTCTTAAAACAAGAACCGGTACGAAATGGGCCTTTTTTTTAATTTCAAGAACGATTTATTCTTAAACCGGCATTCCTAATTTAAGAACGTTTTCGGGCGTTATTAAGTATGAAATGTTCTTGAACCCAGAATTAATTATACTTAAATTAAGTATAAATTCTACTGAAACAATGTAAAAATTATAAAAAAAACATTTGACAATTTTAAAAATTTAATGAAAATTGCTTTGGAGTGGAGGGCTATAATATTATTATTTGTACAAATTTATTCCGATTTACTTGTAAATGAGGTATAAGTTATGCTCAAATAAAGTATGAAATATTCTTAAACTAATAGTATAAATCATTGTGTTGTTTTATTAGTTAACAATACATTTTTTTTTATAATCTTAAACTAAATTACTGATAAATGTATAAAGATTTGTAGATAAAAATGTGTTTTATACTTACGAAACATTTTTGTTAAAATCACATACCGCTCCTAAGATACGGTACCGCAACTTCACGCACCACAGTCGGACGTCCTAACAGTTCGGCCACGCTCGTTCTTATGCGGCGATGACCAAAAAACGTACATAAGTACTTTTATTTGCATACTTAACTTAAGTACAACGTGTACTTGTTTTGAGAATTTAATTCTTAGTTTTAAATAATATAAAACAAAAACACCTCTTAACAAGGTTAGAAGGAGTGACGATCGCACGAATGCTTGTATACTCGACTAAATAAATATACTTTATAAAATAATCTCATTCGGTACGCTGCAATAGAATACGCTTTTAAAGACCATATCATTCGACGCCTATTATAAGTAAGAATACAAGTCGGCTAATAGAAAGGGACATTTATCCCTACCGGCCCCAACAGCTTCAATTTTCTACATTTTAACTTTTACACAGGGACCGTAAATAACACAGGCCGACAAAATGTGACATGGGTCGGTGTCCAGGCCTGCCACCATTTTATTTCGATAAATGAGGCTTTTCTAAGCATAAGTTGCCACTACACCTATAGTCCATCAGCTCTGGTATTTGCGGTATCTATAAATTAAGAAAATCACAAATTTTCTTCGTCTTTTGGGATATATCTTCAAGAGTGGTCAACCAATTTCGATAATCTTTTCGGAATTAAATAGTTACATGTCTCTTTTATACGGTCGTTTTGGAAAATTCAATCTAACTCAACCACAAGAGGAGGTGGGCGCATTCCAAATTTTAAAGTCACAGCAAAGTTTAAAAATCTTCATTTGTGAACAGCGTTTAAAAATTAAATAAAAATATTTTCTTCAACAATGCATTTTTGATCCAAAGACACCTTGTGTCCTTACTGTTTAGGACACTCATCAGGCTTTTGTGAATTGTATTGGAATTTTTAAAATTGTTTTTCTTACTTCCTTCACAGTGACGATTCACAAACAGTGCCCTAACCTGTCACAATTTTACGTAACTCATAACTATTTTTGAGCACAAGTTACCCTTGCTTTAAACAGGGGGATTACAGTTTAGGCATTTCAGACTCCAAAGATTAGTAGGCTACGCTCATGTGCTTATACTCAAAGCAAAACTACTTAGATCGTTTAGAATTATGATATTTAAAATTATGACAGGTTTGGGCACTGTTTGTGAATCGTCACTGTGAAGGAAGTAAGAAAAACAATTTTAAAAATTCCAATACAATTCACAAAAGCCTGATGAGTGTCCTAGAAATTAAGGACATAAGGTGTCTTTGCATCAAAAATGCATTGTTGAAGAGAATATTTTTATTTAATTTTTAAACGCTGTTCACAAATGAAGATTTTTAAACTTTGCTGAGACTTTAAAATTTTGAATGCGCACACCTCCTCGTGTGGTTGAGTTAGATTGAATTTTCCAAAACGACCGTAGAAAAGAGACATGTAACTATTTATTTCCGAAAAGATTACCAAAATTGGTTGACCACTCTTGAAGATATATCCCAAAAGACGAAGAAAATTTGTGATTTTCTTATCTTAAAGATTCCGCAAATACCAGAGCTGATGGACTATAGGTGTAGTGGCAACTTATGCATAAAGCCTCATTTATCGAAATAAAATGGTGGCAGGCCTGGGCACCGACCCATGTCACATTTTGTCGGCCTGTGTAATCATTATTTGAGATTTTAATTTAAAAAGGCCTACTGAGGTTTTTACAAGTTTTAATTAACAACTTAACTGGTTTTAATGCACTGTATAGACATGAAAAAATAACAGTTAATTTGCTTTCCAGATTTGTTGAAATGAATATACTTTGTGGACAAGAGTAAAAAGAACGTTATTTTTGACGTTTAAAACAAAATATCACAGTAGTCTTTTTAAAATAAAAATCTCAACTAATGATTATTTACGGTCCCTGCTTTTACACTTTCAACGCCCTCTCCCCCAAACCAATGAAATTGATTAAGTCTTGGTATTTGTATTCTGCGGTTATATAATAGTAGTCGCCTTTGCACACTGTCCTGGTGCACTTCGTCACTACGTGGACTACCGTCCACAGTGAGTTATCTCCTTGTGATTTTATGTAAATATTTTAAAAATCAAAGCGTCTTTCCGTAATGTCCCATTCTCTCCCCGATTTAAACCTAAAATCGGCTTGTTTTGAGAATGTAATTCTTAGCTATAAATTTAAATATTTTTAAAATCGAATCGTATTTTGGCACGTTTTTTACAGTATTTAATAACAATTATTAATTTCAAAATTTTTCTCCGATTTATCCAAATTTGCTTGTTTTGAGGATCTAATTCTTAATTTTTAATAATATTGAACTACTTGTGTTTTATAAACATATGTACCTACATTATAACATTTTTGTGAACTAATATTGTCTTTTTTAGTCTAGCGCCAATTCTATTTTATTTTAATCAATATTGGTTCTCGTTAAGTACATTATTAGTACATTTTAACATTGGCTTAAGCACAAATTGTACTTGTCAAAATGCTATTTATTTTTCAATTTTAATACTACTGATGAGAATAATTCATTCCTATTTACAGAATATTAAAACCTAATTTTCTGAAATTAAGTACTTTTAGTGATCACATTAGAATAGAATTTTTAGAATAAATTATACTTGGGTTTAGGATAAAACGTTCTTGTTTTGTCGTGTTTTTTGAATTATGTTCTTGAATAAAGCACATTTTCGGATAATTTCGATTTCAATTTATTTTTAAAAATGCTTTCCTAACGCTACAAGTTGATAACTTATAATTTGTGCGATAGTCACGTAGGACAATTTACTCATAAATACAGATTTGACATAGTTCTTTGGAGGTTTAAATGAAATTCTTAAAATTACACTTAAACATTAATGGTTAAATCAGTGGCGGATCCAGGTTTTTTTTGTGGGGGGTGATATCAGAACAATTTTTTTTTTGCATACTTTTTGAATACCAAAATTTCTTTCATTTTTCACCCGAGTGGGGGGGGTGATATATCACCCATATCACCCCCCGTGGATCCGCGCATGGGTTAAAGAAAAGGGTCGCTTTGTTGTTTTTTATTTTCTTTTATATTGTGCTAGTATCTTGTAGGTGTAATGTGAGTTTTGACTTAAACTGCGTGGCGCTACTAATATTTTTCAAGGGTTTGGGAGCTGGTTCCATAGCCTTATTGCGTGTACAAAAAACTGCCTTTCAGAAAGTAAAGATCTGTGTCCTATTTGAATAAGGTTATTTGCTCTTCTTGAGGAAGTGAATCTCAATGCTTCAAAGAGATAAGTTGGTTCCCTCGTGTAAATTATTTTGTGCAGATATATTAAAACTCTTAGTTTCATCCAATCGGTCAAATTAAGTTCAAATATTCTATATGCAAAGCTTGTCACATGGCCAAATCGATGTAGATTGAATAAAAATCTTGCTATATTACACAGGTCGACAAAATCAAGACTGTTTCTTGGCCCAAGAATAAACGCTACAAAACCTGAAAGAATTATAGCTGTAGATTACTACATCATACTTGGAAACTTTCCAACACGTTGAAGTTTTTAGAAATCCGTGGTCAAAGTTCCAAATTTTCGATTTTTAGGCACTTTTTGCGGCTTAATAGTAAGAAAACCTTTCGTAGCCCAGTGCCACAATTTAGAGGAACTGGTACCTTGAACCTTTAACTTCAAGAGTATCCAATCACAAAGCTGGACGACCTCTATTGCTTTAGCTATAATGGATTTTACAGAAGTACTTTTTGTCACTTTTTTTCATCTATAGTAGCCTGATATTTTCCTTGTTGAACTGAGACCCGTACACATGACAAAAAGTACTTCAGTAAAATCCATTGTAGGGCTACGGAGGGTTTTCTTGCTATTAAGCCGCAAAAAGTGCCTAAAAATCGAAAATTTTTGAACTTTCACCACGGATTTCTCAAAACTTCGACGTGTTGGAAAGTTTCCAAGTATGAGGTAGTTCTCTACAGCTAAAATCCT